TAACCCTTTTAAACTCATAAAGGATCGGGTTAAAAACAACAGTGTGATCAATCAACTATTATTTACGTATAAACGCTTCCCTATGAAATGACCGCAGCTGATCTGGGGCAAACCCGATCTTTCCCCCGCGGCGTGGAGACGGAGGATTCGTCGTGAAATGAAACTGAGAGGTGCTCCAAAGGGCCACATCAGGGAAACTGCAGATAACACACCGATCTTACCTGATACGTTTATAGGTTTTGAAACCATCGACCATAAGATCATTAAGACTGTAGGCACCTACCAGTAAAGATACTTCTACGGATTTAATTAACTCTGAGTATAATACAGAAATTAGGTATAAAACAGTCAGTGAATATACATATTGCTCTCGGGCATCCCCCCTTTAGGGAGCTACCCTCTCGAATATATACAAATCATCCATTTTTTACAATGTTTTTTTTAAGGTCTTTCTGCTGCAGGAAATAAAATTTCCCCCCCTTTCTAGCACATTATCAAACCTTTTGGCCTCTTCGAACGGTTCACGCTTACTGGTTTTGACATGTGGGGGTAGTCTTTTTCCATTCCTTTATTTCGTACAATAAAAGGTGTTTGAAGCCTGGCCACTGACTGGGGTACTACAAAGTTGTCTCTCCCCCCTATACATTTTGCTTTGGTTCCCAACCTTGACAAAATTGACAGCAAGATACGGACATTGTTTTTGACAATTTTAAACATGATTTAGCTTCAGTTTTTTAAAATCTGTTTTCAACTTTCAGCATATCCAACTGCTGTAATTTTTCCCGGGCCCTACATTTCTCTGGTCCCAGCCCCAGGATGAATCTTACGATTTTTTTTTGGGGTGATTTCAGTCATCTTTCATTTTTTTTTGTAAAGGCAGAGTACCAAAAGACAAGCGTAATCCAATGGCATTGTATGGGGCTAGACAAGGGTCCCTGCGAGCCCAGGGGTAGACACTGGTTTTCTTACAGGAATTTTCTTTGGCATTCGCTTTCTTTACTACACTGTTCCCTATCAATTCTCCGACATGCAGGGTAAAAGGGGATTCCCCCAAATTTTTTTACTGAGAAACCAAAGTGATGTGCCCCCCCTTTACATGACTTAAAAATTATTTCCCCTTCTCATTTATTTTTCGTCCCAAAAAGAAATGGCTTCATTTTTTCCCTGGGTTAATGATAGTTTTTGTCTACAACCTTTTGCTGCAGGCCCAGTTTCCAGTTTAAAACATTACAATATCTTGTGGGTCTTTACCTACACAAACGAGCACTGTCATCGCATACAGTAGGATTTTTGCACTTGAACTGATGGGCATATCATTGACAAAACTAAAAAATAATAAGGGACCCAGAATACTACCTTGGGGAACTCCACATTTTATCGGCGGGGGTTCTGATTCTTTTTGTTTTTTTGACTATTTTGTCTCCTGTTCTAAGGTGGGACTTAAAACCATCTAAAAACCTATACCAATAGCTTGAATTTTATTACATAAAAATTTTGGGGGTTGCAGATCAAAGGGCCTTTTGCGGGTCTAATTACCATCCCTATGGGGTTTTCCCCCTTTGACATTTCGTTTTTAGGTAATCCATCAGATTAATAAGGGACGTGTCGGTTGGTAGGATTTTCTAAACCCCATTGATAGCTAGGAGAATGTTTTGTCATTAAGGTATTTAACTACTTGAAAACCACCGCCCTCTCAAATTTTAGATATTATACTGATAACTAACAGCCTATATTCTTACTCAGACCACTATTTTTCTTGAAGAAGGATACTCGGCCTCCTTGAACCCCCCCGGGTACTGTATTAGTTGATTGAAGTTTTATTTTTGGAGCAATAGGGTTTTGACATTTAAAGCACCATTTTTTGGGAACTTAGACGGATGTTATCGGGGCCTGTGCTCTTAGTTGGGTTAACCTGCTTAGTTCTTTTTGAATAAAGTCATGAATACATTTACTAGTTGAAAACTGTTTGGGTTACCCCTTTTTTGGGTATAGTTGTTTGAAACTTATCAGAGCGTGTTAAAGGATTTGATGCAGCTGGTTTTTACTTACAGTGTTGATGCAACAGAGTGTAGTAGAATTAAAAAATTTTGCCACCTTGATTTTGGGTGGCATACCTCATATCGATAGGATCTATTTTAGACCTACTACGGGCTTATGGCTATACCCCAACTTTTTTAGTTTTCCAAGTTTTTCGGGGGTTATGCTTATACCTCAATTTTTGACATAGTGCTTTGCCTTTGCTCCTTTTTATAAGTCCTGTATCTGTTCCCACCCTTTGGAATTCTTTTATCTGCAAATCCGTCTGTTTTGCTTTAAAAACTTTTAGCACTGGGCCTGAATTTCATATTATTAAATCTCAGTATTCTCCAGGGGTTTAGTTCTTCGTTTAATCCAACCTCTTTAAAAATGGTGCAATATTTCAAGGATGGTATGAAAATTGTTTTGAATTTTTCCCAGGCATCGTTTACGTCCGTCAACTTTTACTCTGCGTCACATTATTTTTCCTTTTTACCTTTTCTTTACTTATTTTATTGATCTTTTTAGCCTTACCTATACCTGTTAATTTTGTTTAAAAAAAAAAGATTTAAACCTGTGGGTAAGCCCCCGACGACAAAATGTTTCAAGGGGGCAAAAAATGTTAAATTGGGGGGGAAAATTTTTATGGGGGGATATTTAAATTGGTTAAATTTAACCTAAAAATTTCTTAACCATTTATGCCCTTATTTTTCTGAAAAGTTTTAATCGCCCCGATTTTGGCTCAAGTTTTTCCCCCGGAAAAAACCGAAAATCTTTAAAGGTTGGGTTGGAGGGGGTAACTATTCCATAAAAGGGGGTTTTCAGGCCCTTTAAAAAAGAAAATTTTCCCTTAGATTTTAAAAAACTTGGGGTTTAACAAGCTTTTTAATGTACACATACCCCCACCCCTTTTTGTTCCCAACAAGGTTTTAATTGTAAATCCCTATTTTGTGCTAGACCTAATCCCCCAAGTTAAAAAGGGGTTTTTGGTTTTTGTTTTTGGAAACCCAAATTCTAATTTAAGGGGAAAAATGTTTCATAAAAAATAAAAAATAAGGCCGTTTTATAAAAATTAATCATTATGGGAAGGGGATTTTTTTAAAAAGGGGAAAAAAATTTTACACTCAAAAAGGAATTGCCCGTGCAAATTTTTTACACCCCAAAAAAACTCACCTTCATAATTTTCTCTTCAGCCCCCCCCCCCTTTCCCCTTTTAAAAAAGGGCCTTTTTGTTTTTTGGATTTTTAAGTGTATCCCTTTTTTATGTTTTTAATAAAATTGGGGGTTTTACTTGCCTAAGGGATTTCTATGGGGTTGGTTTTTTTCCCTTTTAGGCCCGGATTTTTTGGTCAACTTTGGCCCCAAAAAGTTTGAGGCCCCGGTTTTTTGGATTCCCCCTTGGCGCCAAAAGGCTTTTACTTTTTTTGTTTGGGGCGGGGTTTCCTTTGCCGCGTGTACCCTTATTTTCCCAAAGGAAATGTTCTTTTCTGAAGGGGGTTTTTATTAAATTTTTCCAGCCCCCCTACCCGATTCTTTTTTCTTTTTAAAAAAATATAAATAAATTTTAACCTTCCCCCCAAAACCGATTTTTTACCTTCGTTTTCCCCTATACCAAAATATTTATTTCCTTTTTTTTTTTTCCCAAATTTTCTCTTAAAATCCCTGTTTGTTTTTCCCTAAAAAACCCCCCTTTCCCCGCTCATTTTTTTTTTTTTACCTTAAACCCCCCATTTTTCCCTTTAAAAAATTTGGGGGTTTTTTTGGTTTCTCCTGACCTTTTTCTGAAATAGCCAATTTTTAAAAAATAAGGGGGCGACCCAAACCTCTTTTTCCGAAAAATAGCTTTTTCCTTTGGGTTTTACTGTATTAGGAATTTGGTTTCCCCTCTTAACCCGACGTTTTAAAATTTACCCCTTTTTGTGCACTGAGGGGTACCCCCATAATTTAGTTTTTACTTTTTTGATTTTCAGTTTCCCCTGTTTTCCCGTTGCCGGTAAGGTAATTTTTTCGTTTTCCACTGAAAATAAAGCGTAAAATGGAAAATTTATTGTAGGTTTTCTGCAGTGGGGGTTTTGGTGCCGTCCCATTTTAAAATTAATTTTTTGTTTTTATAAAAAAAATTTAAAACCCTTTATTTTTGGGGGAAATTATTTTCAAGGGTTTTTTCATGTTGATTTTTAATTTCCCGCGTATTAAATATATAAATAATTTAATATTATATAATAATAAAAATTTAAAATAATTTTTCCTGTAAAAAAAAATTAACAAAGACTTTCAGTTAAAAATTGAGAATTAAAGCTTTAAAAAACTGAAATATAAGGGGAGTACCTAGTAATTTAACAAAATACACAAGTTCTTTAAATTTTTCCCTTTCCTTACCAAAAAAAAAGGGATTGCATAAAGAAAATTTCACTTGATTGGGAAAAGAAAAAGAGGAAGGAGATTAAAAGGGGGAGGGAAACCAAAAATTTAAAAATAAAGAAAGGTTTTTCACGGCAGAAGAATTGGGGATAAGGGAAAAAAGGCCGGAAGAAGACGAGGTGGTTTGGGGATTTAAAGGGGGGAAGAAGAGGGGAAAGAAGAGAAGGAAGAAAAAAAGAAAAAATAAAAAAAGAAGAAAAAATGAGGAAAGAGAAAAGAGGAAAAAAAAAACGGGAAAAAAAAAAGGGAAAATAAATGGGGAAGGAAGACAATTGGTGGAGAAAATGAAAAAGGGGGGAGAGAAAAAGGGGGGGAAAGAAGTAGATGGATGAGAAGGAGGAGGAGGAAACGATATAAGTGGAGATGGAGGAGACGATGAAGGTGGAAATGAAGAAGATAGAGATACATGCGGAGGAGATTGAGGAGAATGCTGAGGTGGAAATTGAGGTGGAAATTGAGGTGTAGGAGGGGACCGTGAAGGAACAGGAGGAGGAAGAAGAAGAAGAAGAGGAGGAGGAGGAGGAGGAGGAGGAGGAGGAGGAAGATGAGAAGGAGGAACTTACAGTGGGTGTTGATAGAAGTGCCACACACTCTCTCCCACTTGATGTCTTGAGAGAAAGTGAGCCAATCGTCGACACAGTTGCCCTGGGTGTTCGGCGGAGCGAGTTCAACCTTTGCCACATCTAACCTGTACTCGGGTAGGGACACGGGTAAGCTCTCTTATAAACTTTTATTATTAACACTCACGGGTGGAGAGATAAACCCGTAAGGGTCATTCAATGCCTTGATGGCGGAGAGAGGGTGAGAGTGAGTAGAAATGGCAGACAGTCTTGATTCAGGGAATTGAGGTCTCTTTTGTTAAGTTCCCCTAATCACAAAATGGGTGAGGATCGAACCCTAGGACTCGCCTGCCAAGGGTTCGATCCCTCACCCGTTCTGTGATTTTACAATCGTGTTATTACGATTTCCTGAAAAGAAGAATCTTTCTATACAGTTTTTTTTTTTTTTTGGGGGGGGGGGGGGTTATATTAGACTGCAAAAGTGCATCAAAAATTTCCTAAGCAAGTGAAAAGACTATTGCACGTGCTGTTCAATTATGGATGAACTTTTTCAAATGAACTTATAAAGAATAGCTTTAATGAAAAAACTTGCTAGCACCAGGACAATATATATGTCGGTCGTCGCCCATACTTTCATCATCATTCAACACTTTCACCTCACTCATACATAATCACTGTCTTTGCAGTGATTATATATGATATCTTTAATGCCTGTAAGAGGGGTGCTTTAATACTGCTGAATGTCTCTCGATTCAGAGAAATGAAAATTATTTCCCCTTCATCCTGTTTGTAACTGTATGGCCCTTTGTGCTTCCCCTTAAATAAATAACTACAATTACCTGAGTTGGCAGATGTCTTCACTGAAGTGGAGAGTGTGGGTACAGGTTGTGGCGTAGTTGAAGGTGGACGGGTAGCTTGGGCTCTCAATGTACGTCATGTTATTGGAAGCTGAGGCAGAGCATCCCACTTTGGCTGAGAGAAGTACACGAGAGGACAAGGGAATGATAAATAGCAGGGGGCTTGGAAGTCAACACCGAGGCTATCTACTGAGAACTATCTGCATCTATCTGGATTAAAGGGTATCATTTATTATCTTTTGCGATTGCATGTGTGTCAAGGAGGGAGCGTTAGATCGGAGAGAGATATGAAATGTTGAGAAATGAACGAAAAGACAGAAGAGTACATAGATGCGAGATAAACAGAAAAAAGAGGTGTGGGGAGAGAGTAAGAGGGAGTGAGAGAGAGTATTTGTAACATGCAAGAGTGAGGATGAAACAGTCACTTTCATTACTATTGTAATAAAGTTGGTAGAATTACCGACAAATGTAAAGTAAAAGGACACAAGTGCAACTAATGTGACATTTTATTGTGGCAACGTTTCGCTCTCCAGGAGCTTTATCAAGCCATTACAAACAATACATGGACACACAGGGTATATAAAGGCTCAGAGTGAGGTGCAATACTAGTGAGGTACCATTTCGATGTTCACTAGTGGTGGTAGTAGTAGTAGTAGTAGTAGTAGTAGTAGTAGTAGTAGTAGTAGTAGTGACAAAAGTAATACAATATGGTAGAGCAATTAATTCGTACATGAGTAAAAGGATATAAAAGCTATTACTTGGGTAACATAAAAATAGGTTGGACAAATATAGACTGGAAAGAGGCAACTTGTTTCAGTGTTCATTCTCTGTAATGTGCTTTGTGTAGTATAACAGGAGAGATTATGTGATGGCAGGGTTTACTGTTTTTAGGAGGATTCTTGCTAAGACTTCAGAGAGGGTGAAGCTGCCGTTGTTTTGTTTAATTGTATTCGAAACAGCGATCAGTGCTGATTCGAGGCACTTGCGTATGCGGAAATTAGTTTCCTTAATCACTAATTGGGCGTCTCTGAATTTCATGAGATGATTGGTAGAATTTCGGTGTTGTACACAGGCGTTATTCAAGTTATCGTTCCTACATGCGTAAATGTGTTCATTGAGACGAGTGTCGAGGTTTCTTGCTGTTTCACCTACGTAAATCTTGTCACAGCCTTCACAGGATATAGTGTAAACTCCTGCGTTGACTGGTTCGTGGTGCTTGGATTTTGTCCTGGTTAGATCCTTTATTGAAGTGCTAGAAGCGATGGCGACTCTGGTGTTAGCTTGTGAAAGCACTTTTGAAACGTTCAGTGCAACCTGGCTGTTGGGAAGAATTATAACTTTGTTGGGAGCGGTGTTGGTGCGTGGAGAATTAATGATCTGAAGAGCTCTTTTCTTGCAGTCTTTGATGAAAAAGGAAGGAAAATGTAACTCAGTGAATGTTTGGTGAATGTATGTACATTCCTCGTCAAGAAACTCAGGACTACAAATTCGGTATGCTCTTAGGAAAAACCCGATGATGATGCCTCTTTTGGTCTTGGTATCTTGACTGGAATAGAAGTGTGCGAGATCAGTTTTATTGGTGGGTTTCCGATAAACTTGAAATCTTAGGTTGTTGTCTACTTTGTCAATGAGGACGTCGAGGAAAGGTAGTTTGTCATTGGACTCTTCTTCTAGTGTAAACTGGATCGCCGGTTCAACTGCGTTGAGCCTTGCCTGAAGATTCCGTACATCAAAACGTTTGGGAGTTATTACGAGGACGTCGTCCACGTAACGTAACCAAGTGACGCTTGAAGGGAAGATGTTTGCGAAGTGTTCGGACTCTAGGTGTTCCATGTATAAGTTGGCTAGGACGGCACTGATGGGGGACCCCATTAATAGCTTTAATGGGGTAATAGCTTTTATATCCTTTTACTCATGTACGAATTAATTGCTCTACCATATTGTATTACTTCTACTTTTGTCACTACTACTACTACTACTACCACTAGTGAACATCTAAATGTTACCTCACTAGTATTGCACCTCACTCTGAGCCTTTATATACCCTCTGTGTCCATGTATTGTTTGTAATGGCTTGATAAAGCTCCTGGAGAGCGAAACGTTGCCACAATAAAATGTCACATTAGTTGCACTTGTGTCCTTTTACTTCATTACTATTATCGAAAATGCACAGTTTTCTCTCTCTCCCCTCACATTATCTACACTTTAATTTCTGCAGTGTAGTATACATAACCCGTAACATATACATTCAAATAGACATATATAAACGCAATACCTAAACAAAAGTATAACGATGACTCAACAGAAAAAAAAAACGCAAAAGAGCAGTATTTACTGAGGCATAAGAAGACTCACTAAGGTGTTAAAGCAGCGTTGAGGGATGGAAACAATACTGTTGATTCTTCAAACAATGTTTACTGGTGCATGAGAATTCTCACTGACACGTGAAAAATTATATTCACTGACGCAGTGAAAATAATACTCACAGACGCATCAAAATAATACACACAGACGCATGAAAACTATACACACAGACGCACGAAAACAATACACACAGACGCATGAAAACAATACACACAGACGCATCAAAACAATACACAGACGCATCAAAACAATACACACAAACGCACGAAAACTATACACACAGACGCATGAAAACATTTCTCACAGACGCATGAAAACAATACACACAGACGCATGAAAACTATACACACAGACGCATGAAAACATTTCTCACAGACGCATGAAAACATTACTCACAGACACATGAAAACGATACTCACTAAGGCAGCAAATACCAAAGCCACTTGCACACTGTCCTGCCTCTTCTCCCCCGCCTCTGTAGCAGGCGGCGCTGGGGTAACATACCCCTGTATCTTCCCCAGTGGCTGGGCACTCACTGTTCTTGAACCTCACCACTGAGAACACTGACACTGTTATGGGTAAGAACATTCACTCTTACTTCTGGAGAACACACTGTTATTTGCAAGGAAATCAACAATTTTCTGGGGATAACAAAGTCCTGGTTAATTATAGAGGACAAATTTTAATATAATTATTATTTTTGTTAGGGTGTTGTTGCTGTTAGATTTTTTGTTAGGTCAGGTAAGGTTTGCCAGGAAACAGTACAAGTGTTTTCTGACGCGGTTCTTAGTCATTAAAAAAAATTTATGTAGCTTAAGACTGAGGCTGACTGCAGGTGTCAACAAGGTCAAGGGGTCTTAGTCATATGATGAACCTCAGCTGGAGCTGAGGGTCATCATAAATGAATATATTAACACATTTTGTGTTACTTAATCGTGTTGTTGCTGTTGTTGTTGGGTTTGTTGATGTGTATGTGAGGGGAGAGAGGAAGTAATGGAGAGGGGAAGAGGGGAAATATAACTTACGGAAGCGGTTTGTTTCGGTGCTTGTGTGACCATGAGTTAGACTGCACGCCCACATCGTGGTCAGTACCGCCCACACCGCCCACATCCTGCAACCTCCTCCGCAAGGTTCTCCCTCCTAGAGGAAAGATAAATTCTCCTCTTACTCCGGCAGGTCCTCACACAGATGGAAGATGAGACAAGTGCTGCTTCTCGTTTCGTTTTATTGCCTCTTCCAAGAACCACAGCTAAGACAGGCAAACTAGGTTCTACCACTGAAACAATTTCGGTCCTCCCGATATCAGTCCTCTGGACGTATTGGTAGTGTTCGTTGGTCAGGAAGCAACACAGTCTCTCCTGACATGGGTTTTAATCAGGTGTTGACCCCTTACAGGTTAATTAAGAATCCGCTGGAGTACCGGAGCTGGGTTTTAAAACCCCCTTTAGAAAACAAAGGATCATCACGTGGGACTATAAACCTAAGTACCATAGTTAGTTTATTGTAAACCCGATATTCATTGTAAACTGTATCGCAATAACATACATAGATTCACAAAATGATTTTGAATTAGATTGAAAAAATAATTAACAGAAGTACAACTGGGTATATGCTTCTGATTTAGGTTAAATTTCTCAAAAGCAAATATAGAAAACTAACTCAAAATTTCCATCTTATTTTGACTGGCAACAGCCCCAGATAGAGTCAGAGACGATTGATCCTGTAGGAGGTAATTCGTAGACACAGTGAAGACACTACAAGCAGTGTCAGACGGTACGGTTCCCAACAGCGGAGAGAGATTTCTTCCTCCCTGCTCGCTACGGTCGGCGAAGCTATACTGCAGTGCGTGCAAAGTAAGTCTGCCTCAAGCCTATTCCCACCCTTTACCTTCAAGCGAAGGGGGACGGGGAGAGCTTGATGCTTCGAGACGACACTTCCAAGACATTCGAGTAATCCCATTTTTTAGGCGCTGTATTATCCACATATGAGTTTAGTGTTTACCAAAGATTATAATAATTCCACCTTTATATGGGCTATCAATCTTCAATTGATAGCCCATATAAGCCCTGGAAAAGGCCAGAAGAGGATAACAGGATTAAATTAGGGATTGTTGAGAAATTGAGAGGTGGGCCACAGCACCGAAGGTTCCAGGTATGATTTGAGGTCTGAGAAATACAAGGTAATAACAGAAAAATGAAGGACAAAGTAAGAATTTTGACCATAGGTGTCTGGTAAGAGACGTTGGGAAAAGAAAAATTTGATTTTAGAGAAGAAAAGGGACTTTATTCAGATAATTAAGCCCGGTGAGTTTATAAACTAGGATAACCCAAGAAAACCAAGCAGTGTGGCTTATTTCCATTATGTGGGTGTAGGGGAAAGGGTCCTTAAGTTCCCCTTACCCACGACATTATGTTAACTTCAAGGTATCATGACTCACAAAATCGTAATAACACGAATGCAAACAAATCACAGAACGGGTGCGGTTTGAACCTATGGCTAGTGAGACCTAAAGCTCACAAGTCAGTGCATTAACCACCCGGTCGGTGATTTCTGCTGCTAGGTGAACAGAGGCAACACATCTTTGAAGAGTGAATATCAAAATGGTATATTTGACATCGTCTTGACATCTCTACTGCTCCTGCCTACTTTCTGCACTCGACTGAAGAAGTCTACTTTGTAGACGAAACGTTTCGGAATAAAGATGCCGAACTGTTGCCTATGTGTCTTACTTACCGACACATCTTTGAAGACTTGACCATACACCTCGCCCAGCCCAAGAGTGAATTTCGGTCATTTAGGATGCGATACAAGGAACTAGGTACTAGGTTGTTAGGAGAGGTTAGTTGATGGCGAGAGAACGCTCCTACATGCACTTCGCTCTACGATGTGACATTTTCTTTTGACTTGCCCAAGACACTTTAGTTAAAAACCAACATGAGAACTTCGTTCAGAATATGCTTAGTGGGTCTCCCGTGCCTAAAGCTGTTTTCATTTATTTTTAAAGATGTCAACACACTGCCTTGGTGTTTCTCCTGCCGTGTCGGTATTATATACCATTTCTCTTCAGAGAGCAGGACCTGCCAAGCATTGGTTAGCAGACCTGAAGTGTTTCTCCAATCATAGGTTCTTATGTTTATGTAAGTCAGTTTGGATTGATATTTGTGTGTGGTGGAAGTACTACCTTCGTGTACTCACAGACGACCAGAAATTCCTGCATATGTTGCGGGTGTAAGTCAAGACCCATGAAATACAGTCGTTCTCACTCTCACTCTCCCTCTCTCTCCCCACCCCCTTGATCTCCCCATATGTTCAACAACCACCCCCCCCTCTCCTTTTCCCACCTGTCAAGCAAGACGTAACAAATTGCTTTAATTAATCCTAGTGTTCCTCACAGCTGTCTGGATCCCCAGCGGCGTCACCAACAAGACAAACCATTTTGTGAACTACAGTTCCTGGTCTGGTGACTTTTTTCACTTTATTTTTACGTAACGAGCGGAAGCTGTCAAGGAGGCAGATGTTTAGACAAAGTAGCTGTAAAGATTTATGCAACATTTTAAAGATGGCTATACATGTGTCTGTTTCAAAAGGTGACAACCTGCAAAGCCAGCTGCATGAGCCGTGTCAACGATGCCGGAAATTGCAGCAAAACGATGCGCGTCAGCACTAAGTCGCAAGATACAGGATATACTCTCCACCCAGGTAATATCTGCCCTGGTAGGAGCAGGAAGAGGAACGGATTGGAGTTTCATATGTAACGCAAGACTTGCTGACAAGTGTGGCACGCTATGCGCAAAGCAAATCTTCATTTGTAGACTACGTTTGGCTCTAAATAGAGCTTTATCAAGTTAATGACTTGAAAAAGCTCCTCAGAGCAATGGGTAATCTATAATGTTTTGCTTTTGGTAGTTATAAGTTAATCTTAAGGGTGTTCGAAATGCTTTGCATAACAAGGGACTTTCTGTAAAATATATGAAAAATCATCAACTATTCAATATCTTCGCTTGAGTGGCAATGAGGTTGATGAGGCGTCAGTTGCTGGACCATACTATCAATTAGACAGATGATGGTATAGACTAAGCACTGATCCTGGCTAGGGAAGATAGACTACCTACCTTGTGCCTCATAATGTTCACTTATACCTTAAGTTTTTAAAAGGCGACTAAAAGGATTTGAGTAGGATTGGCACACGAGTTAATAGGGTTATCAAAGCTTATTCCTTTGGTAACATTGAAAATGGGTTGGACAAATATTTTTGTTAGTGGGTTTGGGTTTGAGAAAGACCTGCCTGGTATGAGTCAATAGGCCTACTACAGTGTTCTTTCGTGAGTGTGTGTGCGCGCGCGCGCGCTCACCTATTTGCTCACCTATTTGTGGTTGCAGGGGTCGAGTCCTAGCTCCTGGCCCCGCCTCTTCACCGGTTGCTACTGGGTCCTCTCTCTCCCCGCTCCATGAGCTTTATCATACCTCGTCTTAAAACTATGTATGGTTCCTGCCTCCACTACATCACTTTCTAGGCTATTCCACTGCCTGACAACTCTATGACTGAAGAAATACTTCCTAATATCTCTCTGACTCATCTGTGTCTTCAACTTCCAATTGTGACCTTGTTTCTGTGTCCCCTCCCTGGAACATCCTGTGTGAGGGAAAAGTTCAATAGATAGGAGTAGCGAGGGAGTGTATATTAACAATAGTTTCATTGCCGGCTACTTGTTAAGGTAGGGTCAGTCCAGCTCCCGCTGTTATCCCCCCCCTTTTTTCCCCCTCCCCGAAAGTGATAGTTTGATTGCCTGCTGCTTGTAAAGGTAGGGTCAGTCTAGCTCCTGCTATCCCTTCCCCTCCCTCTTCCCCCCCCCCCCGAAAGGTGACGTGTGGGGCTCAGGTCAAACAGTAAATCACTCGACTCACAGCTCCCAGCACTACTCTTGGAATGACAGAATGGGTCACCTGCCAACCAACGAGTAGAATTGAAGGAGACGGACTAACGTCCTGAGACGTCCCATGTTTTATCTACTTGCCTGTGCACATGTATGAAGATTCAGACGTAACCCCTCATCATTGCAGCGGTAAAGAACCTGCTTTCCTGTCATCTGGATAGATTATTTTACGGCTATAGACTCTGTGAAGAACGAGCCAGTGGGTTGTCACCAACACCTGCGACCCCCCCCCCACACATCATCAGCAACGGCTACGATTTCAACAACACAGTGTCACCAACACCAGACACCCAAGTTTTATATATATTAGCGTTGAATTCAGATATCATTTATATTTTTCATTTTTCATTTTCTTTAATGTAGGATCAATATTTCATATTTAAGTGTTTAATATTTTATATTTTCTAAATAATAAAGTGTTTATGTTATAAGTAAGTAAGTAAGTAAATTTATTCAGGTATACACAATACAGTTACATAGAATTATCATACATAGCAGCATATGTGTAGAGAACCTAGGATAACCCAAAAAAGTCAGACAGAGTGACTTATTTCCATTGTCAGTTTTTGTCCTTTTACTATGCATTAATTTTCCTGAGGAGGAGCCAGCCTTAGTAATACTGACTGAAGTTGTTACAGGGCTGAGTAAGCCTTCACATCCTGTCTTTGTCCACCTTGTCTATTCCGCGCAGTATTTTATATGTCGTTATCATGTCTCCTCTGACCCTCCTGTCCTTTAGTGTCGTCAGGCCGATTTCCCTTAACCTTTCTTCATAAGACATTCTCCTTAGCTCTGGATCTAACCTTGTCGCAAACCTTTGCACTTTCTCTAGTTTTTTGACGTGCTTTATCAACTGCGGGTTCCAAACAGGTGCTGCATACTCCAGTATGGGCCTGATGTACACGGTGTACAGTGTTTTGAACGATTCCTTATTAAGGTATCAGAACGCTGTTCTCAGGTTTGCCAGGCGCCCATATGCTGCAGCAGTTACCTGGTTGATTTATGCTTCCGGAGACATGCTCGGTGTTATACTCACTCCAAGACCTTTCTCCTTGAGCGAGGTTTGCAGTCTTTGGCCACCTAGCCTATACTCTGTCTGCGGTCTTCTTTGCCCTTCCCCTATCTTCATGACTTTGCATTTGGCGGGATTAAATTCGAGAAGCCAGTTGCTGGACCAGGTGTCCAGTCTGTCCAGGTCTCTTTGAAGTCCTGCCCGGTCCTCATCTGATTTAATTCTCCTCATTAACTTCACATCGTCTGCGAACAGGGACTCTTATGAGTCTAACCCTTCCATCATGTCGTTCACATATACCAAAAATAGCACTGGTCCTAGGACCGACCCCTGTGGGACCCCGCTCGTCACAGGTGCCCATTGTGATACATCATTACGTACCAGGACTCGTTGTTGCCTCCCTGTCAGGTATTCTCTGATCCATTGCAGTGCCCTTCCTGTTATATGAGCCTGATCCTCTAGCTTCTGCACTAATCTCTTG